AAAAAAAAACAACCAAAAAAAAATTATTTTTAAAAAAATGAAATCAATCACAGTCTGAATTTTTGGCATAGAAAATAGAACAACTGGCCCAGACTATATTCTTTTATGGATGGCTTCAAAGTTGTCTTTTTTTGGAGTGATAGATTATCTTCCATTGTACGCATAAGGTATAACTTCTGTTCTCTAGAGAGGAAGTCTGTTTACTGATCCTGTATAACACCACTAGAAGGAAGAACTCAAATGCAAGATGTGAGCAAAAGGGCTAAGGGTGGACAGCGAACAATGTGGCCTGATGACATCAAAGAATGGACTGGCCAAAGTACTGCAGCTGGCGACCATAGGCAATGCCGGGTCATTGCACGCCAAAGTCTAAGCCAAAGATAACACCTTTTGGTGAAAGTTCAAATGGCAGCCATTTTGTTGGGATGTCAAATACCTTTTCCTTCCTATATTATTCAAAATAAACTGGCGCATGTTTGAGTGGTGATACCAGTAGATTCTACTTCTTTATTCTCCCTTTCATTTTCTCTGACTATTGTGGGTGGTTGCAGAGTGCCACTGGTAGGTCCTACATCTTTACTTTTCCTCTGTTATTTCTATCTGTCTTTTTTACTTTTTCTCAGCACTAAATGACCAGTATGGTGTCAATTTGTTTCTTTTTATTTAAACAAACATTATGTTTGTCAATTTTGATTTTTTCCCAATACTTAAACGACCGTGTACTCGTGTGCTTATGTGAGTATATATGTGTGTGTGTGTGTGTGTGTGTGTGTGTGTGTGTGTGTGTGTGTGTGTGTGTGCGTGTGTGTGCGTATGTGTGTGAGCGTGTGTGTGCGTGCGAGTGAGTGTATGTGTGTGAACCTGTATATGTGCGTGTGTTTGCATATATGTGTCTGTATGTGTGTCTGTGTGTATGTTTGTGTGTGTATGAGTGTGTTAGAGTGTGTGTATGAGTGGGGTGTATTTTTGTGTGTGTTTGTATGCGTGCGTTAGGGGATGGGCCGGCGGGGAGGGGGGGGAGTAGGTATCGTATACTATTTTTCTAAGGAAGCTAAAGTATTTTAAAGTTGATAAAACATTGATGTCCATGTTCTACCATTCAACCATAGAAAGTATGATCAATTTTTGTATAACAGCATGGGCTGGGAACACAAGACAACAAGATAAAGAAAAATTAAATCGACTAATACGGAAAGCATGTAAAATTTCAACATCTACATTCCCCTACGTGGATGAATTGTACATAACAGCTTGCACTAAAAAAAATAATTCCATGTTTTTAGACAACAAACATCCCTTGTTCCCTCAAATAAAAACATCAGTCAGAAGTAAAAGACCTAGGCTTCTGATCTGTAACAAAGAAAGATACAGAAGGTCGTTTTTACCATCATCTATCAAAATGCTTCCATCTTAACCATCTTGTATAAGTATACCTACGACCTTAGATCATGCATCAAAATAACATTGAGTGTGTATATAGCTTACGATTATTATTGTTTATATTGATGTTCATTTATATTATGCATGTGATTGTAAGCCTACGTGTGTGTGCATGTGTGTGCGCGCGCGCGTGTGCGCGCGCGTGTGTGTGTGTGTGTGTGTGTGTGTGTGTGTGTGTGTACATGTGGTGAAACACCAAATCAATGTGCCAGGATCTGGACAATAACGATGTAACTTATCTTATCTTATCTTATACCTACAGCAGCAGAGAACTGCAGCAACAATAACTCTAGCAGAGAGGTCATTAGGTGTAGAGCTGTGCTCTTTCGACTTTACTATTCGACTTTTACGACTTTTCCCGCTATTCACAGCTATTCGAAGCGTTTCGGAGCCATACTTTGAATGCATTAGGATTTTTACAAACAGTGGATTTACCGCTCGTTTTCCTCAACCCGACGCAAAAGTAGAACTTAATCATAGTATCTAAAAACATTGAGGTAAATACCGAAAAACTTTGTACAAGATGCATTTGGGATAGAGTGGTAAGCCAAAAACACAGTAAATAGTGAACATTGATCATTGGTCAGTGAACTGCAGCCAATAATTTCATATTTTTATTACTATCTTTATCCTCCAGTGCCAGATCTGCTACAGACATCGGCGATCATGGTTTTCCATTCATTCCTTTGCTCGGATGCTCTCAAAAAAGCTATTTTTTCCTGATCTTTCGCTTTTACCCATTTATTTAGGTTACCCAAGTATGTTGTTCTGGGCCTTCTCCTGCCTCGCTTGCCCTCAATTTTTCCAGTGAGAGCTAGGTGTTCAAGACCCTGTTGTCTATTTATGTGTCCCAAAAATTGCATTTGTCGTTTCCTGATTGTTTTTAACATTGAGCGACCCACGTGGGCTTCATTAAGCACTACCTCATTTGATTTCTTTTCCTTCCACGATACTCCTAGCAGTCTTCTAAGAAACCACATTTCTGTTGCTTCTATTTCATTTTCATTGTCTTTAGTGATTGTCCAGCATTCACAGACATATAGAAGGGTTGACCAATCATAGCATTTCAGATCTTTCATTTTGGTGTTCATTGATTCGTTTCTATTTTTCAGGATTGGGCTCATTTTATTGAAACTAGCCTTCGCAATTGTAATTCTCCGTCTTATTTCTGTGGAATATTTGGCATCAGGTGTTATCACATATCCTAGATATTTAAACTTTTAGACTAGTTTGATCTTTTCACCTTTGCTAATGAGATTACAACTAGGCTTTGCTGCGTTTTTGGATATTACCATGCATTCTGTTTTCTTTACATTCAGCAATAATCCTTTACGTTCACTTTCTGTTACAACAGTATCTAAAAGCAATTAAAGGTCCTTTTCTCATCCTGCTATCAAAGCTGTGTCATTTGCATATCTGATGTTAGTAATCTTTTTTACTATAGGCTACAAATATATAGTGTATAATTTCTCTCTCTCTCTCTTTCTCTCTCTCTCTCTATCTCTCTCTCTCTCTTTCTCTCTCTCTTTCTCTCTCTCTCTCTCTCTCTCTCTCTCTCTCTCTCTCTCTCTCTCTCTCTCCCTCTCTCTCTAAATATATATATGTATTTCACAATACGAAGCGTCGATGACTTTACGTTTCTTCGTAATGGCACAGCCCAACTAGGAAGAGCATAATGTTTAGCGTGGTGTCATGGCATTATTGCAGAACCCGTTCGTTTCTCGCATGCTGAGATAACAGACTGCCAATGAACGAACACCATTCGTCACTATCCTAAGCCGATTTGGCACTTATTGTCAGCATGTAAACAAAAGGCTAAACCATCATAACTCACTGAGAAGAGGAATATGGTTATTAGGTTATTCAACAGCGCTTGAGAACGGGCTGGTACGGGGCACCTTTAGGTCGTGGGTTCGAACATATGTTATGCAAGCTGCTGGTTGACCACTCTAGTATTTACAAATTGACAAGATTTTTTGCTGTCTATAGCCGTGTACTAGATTCACACCTGGGTGAAACAAGCAAAGTGCGTGTAAAGTTCCTTTTCCAAGGACACATGAATCATTATTCAAAAACATTTTTGTTTAAATTATGTTTTCTTAAATTAATTAAAAAGAGCATGTTCCAACAAGAATGCTATGAAATATGCTCATTTATGTTTATGATTTGTACATAATGGTTCAAAAATTGCTGCAAGGTATATTTTGAACTGGAGTTGATCGGATATTATTTTATTATGCGTCTGCCAGGTCCGTGACCTTGTGGTTGCACTCTTGGACTCACAAACGTAAGGTCGTGCGTTCGAATCTCGTCAAGGGCTCGACGTTGTGTCCTTGGAAGAGGAACTTGGCAAGATTTTAAGTCACTTCACCCAGGCGTGAATCTGGTAGACAGCGAAAGATCTTGTCAATGTGTTAGTGTTTGAGTGCTTAATCAGATGTTTGTATAGTTTGAACAAACCCACAACGTTACTTTGGAAGGTAAGAGAACCTAACCACTAGGCCACCTATGCCAATTTCACAAAAGCACAGAGGCGTACCCGAAAAAAAAGGCTAAACGCACCACATGGCTGCTCAAACAGATTCACAGGTAAATTTATGAGACAATTGATTGCATCATTGGACAGATTAGTCAGATCGGATACTAATTTATTATCTCAGAGATTTGAGGGGGGGAATTCCACTGTACACCCCCCCCCCCTTTCCTAATTCCCCCCCTTCCTCCCCCCCATACACAAACATACAAACACCCAAAAACGAGGTAATTTGTGTTGGTTTACGCCCCTTGCAACACTGAAAGGTTATCTAATTTATTTAGTTAAATTAAGAGGGTGGTTCTCTGAATGTAACGGCCATCTCTGGTAGGACCGTACCAAATGAGGTGTTATATGGAAAGTGACACAACATCCCGTCGAACTGACACTTGAACGAACACATTCGTTTATTAAGACAGACAGACAAACAGACACACACACACACACACACACACACACACACACACACACACACACACACACACACACACACACACACACACACACATACAAATCAATTAATCCATCGTAAAACTATGAAACTTTTATTTATTCAAATCCCATTCCTTTGAGAATGGGCTCTTTTTGTAATCAACTGATCAACAAAGACTGCAATGTTCTGGCGGGCTAATTTCATAATTTTAAAGTCTATTCTCTTCCTTTCGGGAATCCACGTTCAAACATTACGAGCTGTAGTTTTCTATGCTATAAGCTAGTCCCCGAAACACTTAGCTTAACCCATTCCCTGTCTCAGCTCTTTCTAGTCTGAAATGCGAGAGCCCTCTTGGTAATTCTTTATTTCAAAGTTCGCTTTTTTGCTGTTTTTGGGGGGTTTTTTAGTCTTTAGTTTTGAAACTGTGAAATGGTATCGATTTAACGCCACCATCAATAAAATGAAGATATGTAGGAGCCGGAGCCTCCGAATTAAACACCTTTCTGCGCAGGACCGAGCCAAATAGGTAATTCGTGAAAAGTGCTGTTCCTACGGACACAAAGTCGGACCGAGATGAAGCTCGGACCCCTGAATCCGCAATCTCATAATTGCGGATCCGGTAGCATGACCATAAGACTACCAACGCCTCATTATTAGGTTTAATAACTTTGATGCTAAGAATGATTTGCGATAAAAAGATCTTAGACATTCTTAATTAAGATGTCTCAGTTAGGGACAGGTGAGATGGATGTTTCCAGAGATGTATGACTGGGCTATGGGATGGTCATCATGGATTGTCTTCATAAAGTGCAGCGTCTGAAAAACACACCACTATTTTGCTGCTTTAGAATTACAACAAAGTTCTTTCTAACATTTTGATAGTTTTGAGCTACTAAGACCATAAGGACCGAAATAGAATTATGTTCTTTCTGCTCTATCAAAATCGTAAGATTATTCCGAGTCGTTATCAAAATATTCAAAGAATTGCATTCGAAAACGCTGACATAATATTGTGTAACTCAAAATATTTAAAGTCATATTTCTCAAAACTAAGGATTGAGCAGATATAATTTTGTAATTCTGAAATAGCGATTTATGGTCAGACACTCACTCTCTGCTCGTATCAGCTTAACTATGTAAAGGTATAGTTTTAATGCCATTATCAACATCTTTAGCTTAATTAAGAAGCAGGACCTCTCAATTTAATTTCTGTCTTCGATAGAACCGAAACAAATAGGTTGATTTGAAAGCTATGAAAACTATACAAAATGACCAGAGTTCAAAAACGCCCAGTCTGGGATTCGAACCAGAGTCATCCACTTCGTAGTTCAGCATGATACCAACTGAGCTAACGAAGCGCCCCGGATGCTCGATCCACTACACCCATCCATTTAAGTTCTCATAATAAGTCATTCTTGTCCATTTTTGTCTTTTTGCCTTCTGATTTTACAATTCAGAATGAATAATTATTAATTTTAAATCGTCATTTCCATCATTGTTCTTGGTAAATTACGACAGCTGTTTCCCGTAGCCTACTCTCGAACAATCAAAACAACATATCTGGAGAACCTGAAGGCATGAGTGGCGTGGAAACACTGAAATGATATGCGATTTTTAAAAACATCCAAGCAAAGAGATAAATGGAGAACCACAATCGGCATTTTCTGTTCCATATCTGGCATTTTAAGATAAACCTCAATTTACTTTACTCTACACGTCCTCTTTGTCTTTAGATGTGGAAGAGTGGTGCAAATTTGGAGAATGATATCATCCTCGGTTTCGAAACGCGGTAGAATCAGGCGCCCGTTATTTTTTTTGAGCATATAGATTTATTGATATAATCTTAAAGCCTGTTGATCTTCGGTAAAAGAAATACTCTTTTATATTGAATAGAGGAGTCGAAATATTTCCGATTGAAAGAAATGGACGTCGACTAATTTCAGATGAAAATGACTTCACTACTTCTGTAGTGTCCTTCAAAAATGCGGATCTACATTTTTCTGTGCTTTTGATCCGGTTTTTTTCCACTTTTTTTCTTCTTTTGTAAAAATCCACTCCGAAATGTGCTTTTCAAAGAGTATGAAATGTGTTGAGCCCACAACAAAGACAAAAAATTAGAAGAAAGGGGGCTAGAGGCTGGAAAATATCGGTTGCTTTTTTTTTTCAAATGTATTATCCCGACGAGCGCATGATTTTACCACAATGCCCAACATTTCAACTTTCCCGCTTTGTTGCATCCTCAGCTCATCAAAGCCCGGTTTGGCGCGAGGACTCATATTCTGTACTGTGTGTTCGCGCTCGCCACCAATGTGATCATTACAGCGACCCTCATAGTGGCCGGTGCTGCCCTGTTTCAGGTTAGTCCAGTCGTTTTTAACTCTACCATTTAATTTACACTAACAACAGACACATTTTTAGAAAATGAATGCTTCAAATCAAATTATTCCTTTATATAATTTTGTCAAAAGGAACATTCAAGGCGTATTCGATTGCTCCCAAGGGCTACCTACTCGTTGAGACGTGGACAATCTCAGTGACAACAGACAACTAATAAATATCAGACAACAGAGCAAACGCCCGCGTCATATTTTAGCCTATATTATTTGCATCCAGTGAAATTAAACATAGTCATTATCGTGATGATTTTTTCCAAACTCATAAAATGTGATGCTTGTTACAACAGCAAATTAAGTCGACATGAAATCTATCTTACTTCGTCTGTGAGTGGAGCCATTTTGAGTTTTATTTGTTACTGTTACGATGAGCAAAATGTAAACTATTATTAGAAGCTTCCAAGTCTTTTTCTTCTTCTTCTATCCCGTGGTTGGGCAACCGTTGGGGCACCACTGCATTGGAAAACCAGCTCTCGCCATCTATTTTTGTCCTCTGCTCTCCTCAGATTGTCACCCATCGTCTTTCCTGTCCACTCTGTAATGTTGTCCTCCCATCTCCTTCTCTGCCTTCCTCTCTTTCTCTTTCCTTGTACGGTTCCTTGCAGGATTTTTGGATCTTGTGACATGCCCATACCATTTTAGTTTTCGTCTCTTCACTGTGGTCAGTAGATCTTCATATTGCCCCACTGCGTACTTCAGCTTTTGAAACGTAGTCTTTGAACGAGATGTCAAGGAGTCTGCGGTAACATCTCATCTCTGTGGTCTGAATTTTTTTCTCTAATTCTGCTGTTAGTGTCCACAACTCGCAGGCGTATAAAAATATTGAGATGACCAGTGAACGCATTAGTCTAATTTTTGAGCTGTTTCTGTCCCTCCAAATAGGCTTCAGTTTTGACAGCGCAGCTGTTGTTTGCGCGATTCTGGAGAGAATTTCTGGTCTTAAGCCTTCATCTGAGACGATAGATCCGAGGTATTTGAAGCTGTTGACGGTCTCAAATTTCTCGCCCCTGACTTTGATGTCCGCATTGATGCCATTGGTGTTATTGGTCATTAGCTTGGTTTTCTCGGCACTGATCTCCATGCCGTAGGCTGTTGAAGTTGTGTCCAGCCGCTCCACTAGTGTGGCGAGCTCCTGTTCTTCTCCTGCTTATCCATCGATGTCATCGGCAAAACGCAAGTTAGTAATTGTCCTCCCTCCAATACTGATTGTTCCATTGTGGTCTTCCAGAGTGTCAGTCACGATTCGTTCTAGGAAGATGTTGAAGAGAGTGGGAGAGAGTAAACAGCCTTGCCTCACCCCGACCGTTGTCCTGAACCAATCCCCCGTGCTGCCGTTAAGGTAGACAGCGCTGGAGGCCTTGTCGTATAGTTGTTGTAAGTCTAAAAGGTACAAAAACAATAGGTATAGAAACACCAACACTACTCCAGGACGTAATGAAACGAAAACTGAACTACTCTGGGCATTAAAAAAACCGTGAGTCGCTTCGGGACACGTTCTTGAAGCAAATGCTTCAGCCAAGAAAGGAATTTGGAGGTGCGGACGAAATAAATGACGGGAACAGTCCATAGAAACCTGGGTCGGAGCCAAAAAGACACAGACAGACAGGCAGAATGGCAAGAGACGGAGTGTTTTATTGCAGGAAGGTCAGAGCAGAGCAGAGAAGGAATGCCCAACTACTGAAGAAGAAGAAGAAGAAGAAGAAGAAGAAGAAGAAGAAGAAGAAGAAGAAGAAGAAGAAGAAGAAGAAGAAGAAGAAGAAGAAGAAGAAGCAGGAGAAGAAGGAGAAGAAAAGGAGAAGAAGAAGAAGAAGAAGAAGAAGAAGAAAAAGAAGAAGAAGAAGAAGAAGAAGAAGAAGAAGAAGAAGAAGAAGAAGAAGAAGAAGAAGAAGAAGAAGAAGAAGAAGAAGAAGAAGAAGAAGAAAAAGGAGAAGAAAAGGAGAAGAAGAAGAAGAAGAAGAAGAAGAAGAAGAAGAAGAAGAAGAAGAAGAAGAAGAAGAAGAGGAAGAGGAAGAGGAAGAGGAAGAAGAAAAAGAAGAATCGAAATACGGGATGGTACGAACACGATTGCTTTTTGCATCATAACCAAAAGTTGACCAACAAAAATAAAACGCATCTTTTGTGCTCGAAAGCCTCGTGTTTGTTTTTAAAATTCAAATTATCTTAATAGTCAAGTCAGTAGAAAATGGTAGAACGGTGCTTTTTTAAAAAAAGGTTCAGCGGTTTGACCTGCAAGCAATGTGTCATATTGGATGTAACAAAACACTACGGACTTTTAATTAACCTCATGACTACTTTAGAGACTTATGTATTTAACATGTGTTCTCCTTTTTTGTTGGTAAGTGTTATACGCCGTTCGCAACAGCATAATAAGCTCATATGAGTGCGCGGGACATATCAAACATTTTCAGTTGATATGAAATTTTGAATTTTTGACCGGGTAGCGGCCGAAGCCTACTCTTATCTATTTAGGACCCGCAAGGGATCTTTAACGTGCGCAACTTGCACACGGGACCTCCAAGATTTTTCTCTCTTGTACGAGAAGGTTAGGTGTAGATCTTACCTACCATAAGATCAGGGGTGTGGCTGAAACACAGCGGTAAGGAGCCAACGAGAAGCAATAGAAAGGCTGCAGAAAGAGTCATGAGCACAGGGGGGGCAAAGGAGATGAGGGGTGGGGGCAGAAAGTGGAAACGAGAGGAGACGACAGAATATTGTTAGAGAGCAGGAAAGGATCTGAAATGAGAAAATTTTAGAGAAGAAAAACTTCCGAAACCATCCGGATTCGAATGTGGGACCTATTGTCTAGGCCACGATAGCCCCAAGTGTTCTCCAAAATTGATTCACTTGTATTTTATTCTACTGGCCTATGGAGGAAGGTTTATGAAATGTAACTGCCGTTGAGAAATAATTAATATAAATACTGGGCCAGTTAGTACGGCGTTGTTTATAAATTATGTCTTAAACAAAATTTGAGTCTCGACTCGGTGGAATCAGCCGCTCGTCAATTTTTGGGCCTGTGAAGTTATCGCTATTATCTTAAAGCTTGTTCATTTGTCATACTTTTGATCTTTAAAAAATCTATTTCTATTCTATACAAATCCAAATATTTGCTATTGAAGAAGGTGTCAGTTGCCTTGTTTCAACGGTCAAATCAGCAAGAAAATGGCCACAGAAGTTTGGTTATTTCTTTAGCTTGAGAATCCGTGGAAACTGAAAATTTACTTTTTTGCGCCTTTAACCAACGTTTATTAGTAAATTCCACTCAGGTGTTCTTGAATGGATATGGAAGGTGTTGAGCCAAAACACAAAAATTCAATAAAATTGTCCAAACCTGCGTAAAAATGTCAGTTTCTTCAATGTCATTATTTTGACGAGCACCAGATTCCACCACAATGCATCACATTTATCTTGCCTATATAAACATAGACATTCATGTTTCAGCTAAGACGACGTTAACATTTATTCATTGCTTTGACTGATGGAATTGATGATTCCAAATTCACTGTTTATAGATATAAATACTTTTCGTTCTGATAGTTATCATCTTTAGCCCCTTGCTATGAAAGATGAAACTAGGAATCTAACATTCACTGTAATATAGAAATGCATACTTTGTTACGCTGGAATAACCATAATTTTAAGACTTCTGACTATATTGTTTCATAAGCGATAAGTTAGGATCTGTAATTTTGTGTGTTTTTTTAAGGCCGAGAAAAGAGCAGTATAATTATAATATATTCTCATCAAAGTTAAATATTTCGCTACTTCAGATATACAAATTTCTACTACCCAGTACCTAGTTTTATGAAGTTTGACGTCAAAGATTTTTAGTTTTACATCATGTCAAGCTTTTTCAAATGCAATTATTTCAATGTCTTGACAATGACTGCGAATAGTCTTACGATTTTAATAGAGCAGATAGAATATTGGTTTCTTAGAATATTGGTTTCTTAGAATATTGGTTTCTAACCTCGTGGTCATAGTAACTCAAAACAGCCAAAATTGTCAGATAAAACTTTGTAATTCTGAGGTAGCGATTTGTCTAAGTTACGACACTGCCTTCCACGAAGTAATTTCGAATACTGTCACCCTGAGGTGATAAACTGTCGATCAGGGAGTAAAAACACTTACATAGGGGTAGAAACAATAGGTGCAGCAGCATCCAACACTCCTCCAGAACGTAATGCAAATGCAAATGAACTTTTATCAGAAGCAATGACTTGGCAGATATAACCAGACTGTTTTGCTCTTCCGGGTTTCATATAAATGCACTATGTGCCCAGTGAACAAAAATGTAGGATGTCCCATATTTCAAAGGGTTGTAAGGTTATATTTAATTACCTAAAGCAAACACACACACACACACACACACACACACACACACGCACACACACACACGAGTGAAAAAAACACAAGTTTGTCAGATTCTCCACACCATACAACTTTTTATTACTCTGCTTAATGTAGGGCAAATGGGTTAAGTGTGGGCAAAGAATAATCTGGACCGATAACATCAAGGCAAGGATAGGTGTAAGTATGGAAGAATGCATGAAGGGCAGATAGCAACTGCAAGCCATGGCGGGTCATTGCACATCAACCTCTGAGCCAAAGATGATACCTCCAGGTATCTAAGCTTTGGATTGTATAGAAAGAGAATGAAAAAAAGAGAACGAGTGAAAAAGGGGAATGGGGATGGAGAGAGAAAGAGGCAGACAGTTAAACAGACAGTGAGAGTAAAAGAGAGGGATGGGGAGAGATCGGGAGAGAAAGAGGAGAAAGGTAGACAGACAGAGACGAATACAGTATCACAGAGAGAGAAAGAGAGAGAGAGAGAGAGAGAGAGAGAGAGAGAGAGAGAGAGAGAGAGAGAGAGAGAGACAGACAGACAGACAGACAGACAGACAGACAGACAGACAGACAGACAGACAGACAGACAGACAGACAGATAGACAGACAGAGATAAAGATAGAGAC